TGACTAGAAAGAATAATTTTCTTCATAAAGCGCAATACAAAAGGGATTCTAAACACACAAACCTCATTTCGAAGCTCGGCGTAGTAAACAGATCCAAAGCCACCTCGACCGATTATATTTGCCGTGCTAAATCTTTCAGTAGCTTTGGCTAACTCCTCATACGAAAACTCCACTGACTTATCAACCGTAATACCTGTCAACCTCGGAGAAGCAATAGTAGTCGATTCGGAGGCCTTATCCAAGCTGCTTCCACAACCTAAATCCATGGAACAGATAATACTCATACACAGTTTCACATTTTGCATGAAAACTTAATCTTCAATTTAGAACTAGAAAATCTCACTATACAGTTTACAACAAAATATGATATACCATGTTGGAGTTGACTATATTGATCTTCGGACACACCCGGGACTGGTAGAAGAGTTACATGAGCAACTTTTTTTCTTCTATATAGCACAAAATAGAGAATGAGTGCCAAAAGTAAAATCCCAAAAGCTCCTTCAACAACTATGCCAACAATGACTCCTTTGGACATTCCTATATACAACAATGCCAGCATCACATAACAATATTTATTTACCCTGCCATGATTTTTCATGTCACTCTTTTAACTTTATATATATATATATATATATATATATATATATATATATATATATATATATATATATATATATATATATATATATATATATATATATATATATATATATATATATATATATATATATATATATATATATATATATATATATATATATATATATATTGATTAACATATTTATGAAACTGCAATGTGTACTGTACATCACCTGATCTGCAAAAATGAAGAAAAAAACAAAGCATAGATGTTCAAGTTAGGAATTAAAAAATATATATGTATATTGAAGAGAAAATGTTGGAATATTCAAATCAAATTTAGCATGTAGGATGTAAGGTTATGGAAATTTCAGCATACTTTAGCTGCAGTGGTGGAAAGTTTCCATATTCATCTGCAAAATATGATTGATAAAATAATCAGAAAAAACTATAAAAAAATAAGTGACAATGCATAAACTAAGTATAATATAATCTGTATTGTTTTGTTTTAAAGCCAGATAGTGTCAATTGTTCTTAATAAATTAAACATTTTTCTTGATCAAAAGTATAAAAATAAGCATCTCTTATAGCTTCTTTTTTTATTAATTCTGTCATGTTGATATATTTCCAAATGCATGGGTGGAATATGCTGAATCTTTTTCATATTCCATTATTTTTCATTACAAAACTTCACTATCCAACAAGTGTATGAAATTGTGTCAAAAGGAATGTGAAAGAGACATAAATAGGTGGGTTTAGCTAGGCTCTTTCTTTTGAATCCTACTCCTTATGACAACCAAATCAAAATTGAAATATTCACTGAAACAATGAACCACATAACAGTTTTCCTTCGTTGTTTTTCAACTTTTGTAGCTAGCAGAAGAAATAAGGAGACTAACAGCAACACTTTTTAACCAATATTTTTCGCACAATGAAATTAATCGATGCAAACATTAGCGGCAATACCGAGTCGAACAAGCATGAGACCTTAATCAATCTATACCACAGATAGCAACACATCATAACTATTATATTTCCAATTCTACACTGCATATGTTATGTATTAAGAGAATGTGAGATAGTTATGGAATGTGAGATAGTTATGGAATGGTTATGGAGAATGTTAAAAACAGAATATAATATCAGTTCAAATATTATATGAGAACAACCTAAATGCACTGGTGGAGGACGGATATGACCGTCAAAAATGGACGGACTACGGCAGAATGAGGTGACGACGGAATGACCGGAGGAAAGACGACGGACGGAGGCGCGGACAGAATGCGTCGACGGTGACTTTTCTAATTTTGAATAGAGCAACGTTCGCGAGTGGAAATAAGAAAGAAGAAGACTGTTCTGATTCTGCGAAAATATTGGGATTTTTTAAATTTATGCTACTTAAATCTATAGCAGCGTTTTTTTTGGCATTTAGCAGCGCTTTTAAAAGCGCTGCTACAGGGCTGCCTTAGGACCCCCTTTAGCAGTGCTTTTTTTGGCATTTAGCAGCGCTTTTAAAAGCGTTGCTATAGGTCTGCCTTAGGACCCCCTTTAGCAGCGCTTTTAAAAGCGCTGCTATAGGTCTGCCTTAGGACCCCCTTTAGCAGCACTTTTTTTGGCATTTAGCAGCGCTTTTAAAAGCGCTGCTATAGGTTTGCCCCCTTTAGCAGCGCTTTTTTTGGCATTTAGCAGCGCTTTTAAAAGCGCTGCTATAGGTCTGCCTTAGGACCCCCTTTAGCAGCGCTTTTAAAAGCGCTGTTATAGGTCTGCCTTAGGACCCCATTTAGCAGCGCTTTTTTTGGCATTTAGCAGCACTTTTAAAAGCGCTGCTATAGGTCTGCCTTAGGACCCCCTTTAGCAGCGCTTTTTTTGGCATTTAGCAGCGCTTTTAAAAGCGCTGCTATAGGTCTGCCTTAAGACCCCCTTTAGCAGCGCTTTTTTAAAAGCGCTTTCGTGGACCCCCCCTTTAGCAGCGCTTTTTTAAAGTGTTTTCTTTGACCCCCCCTTTAGCAACGCTTTTTTAACAAGCGCTGTCTTAGGTATGCTATTTTTTTGTTTTTTTTTATGACCCTTTAGCAGCGCTTTTTTAGAAAGCGCTGTCTTTTGTTGCGCTGCTAAAAGTCATTTCTGGCGTAGTGAACAACAAGAATTATAAGATATATGAAGAATGCACCTTCAATATCCTTTCCTTCATAACTGATTTAAACCTCAACATCACAAGCTTCATAGAATCTGATTGGGGTTCCTTCCCAACGACAAAAATTTTAACCAATGGCTTCAACTTCTACCTTGGAACAAGCCTTATTAGTTAGAAAGGCAAAAAAACAATAACTAGTTTCAAGATCCTCTTTAGAAGTCGAATACAAAGCTTTTGTAAACACTTTGTGAGAATCTCAATGGTTATTATATCTACTGAAAGACTTTTCTATCCCACGTCTTCGACATGTAACCATTTTTTATGACAACATTTGTGCCATCCACATTTCCTTAAACATCGTCTTCCATGAAAGAACCAAACACATAAATGGAATGTCATCTAATATGTTACAAAATACAATCCAAAACCATCCATCCCATGCCAATACACTCTAAAAACCAAGTTACACACCTATTTACCAAGCTATTGCACCTTTGTTCCTTTTCTTCTTTGGTTTTCAAACTCATAATGCTCGATATCCTTTCTAGTCTGGAGGGGGTGTTACAAATATAACCTTTAATGTATTTAATTAGTTATTGATTTAATATGTTAGCTATGTTGTAATAGTTTGTTAAAGATAATTACTCTAACCAAATCTATCAGATGGGTCTTAGTCCAACTTGTAAGAGTTAAGATTTAATAAAATAAGAGGGTTCCTCACTACACCCTATTTAGTAATTTCAAACCCTATAAAAATAATAAAATTCCTTTTATCATTGTCCATATTTCAATCTTCGTACGCACCATAATACAACAAATCAACAAATATCTTCAACAAAAACACACCTCATCCATGTTTAAAAAATGTCTGGATTTTGGATGTCGGATACACCTTTTAAATTTTAGAGTTAAAAAACATCAGGCAAAAAAATGAATGTTGCATTACCTTGCATGTGTAGCACTCTTCATGATCACAACACGAAAAACCTTAAACCATTCCAAAATCTCCTTGCTTTCTTAATCAAGATTGGCTAAGATCGACAATCAAAGAGTGGCTAAGATCGAGTATCGTTCACCAATGATTAATAATGAATGGAATATTAAGTCCGTAAATTTGAGCCAAAGACGAATGTAGATGTAAGGGTTATGTGAAGTGCATTTCACCGTTACCCAACTAATGGTCCAATCGATGTGGATGCGACACTTGCAAGATCAACCACATATATTCTAAAGATGATGAAACGTCTCAAATCATCTGTTGGATTTAATTTAGCAAATATTATGTATTCTATGTATGTGATAACAAAGATCTATGCAATAACGCAGATCTCTAGAAAAAATATCTATTTATGTAATAACAAAGATCTCTCTTTGGTATTGTTGGTGTATTCTATGTATGTGATAATAGGATTCAGATTTAAATATTCGGACAAATTTTCAAAACAAATTGCTTATGTGTTCTATGTATGTGATAATAGGGGTGGATTTAGATTTTAATATCCAGATTTAAATTTTAATATCCAGACAATCCCCTAACACAAATTGCTTGTGTGTTTTGTGTATGTGATAACATAAGTGAATTCGAATTTTAATATGTAGATAAACTCCAAGAACAAATTGTTTGTGTTTGATTCATGTGATAAAAAATAATGAATTTGAATTTCAATATTTGAACATATTTTTTTTACTTATATTTGACGTGATTATGATGTGTCTGAATTTCAATTTTTAAATTTCGCTAAAATATGTGTTGACAATGAAAATTTTCCTTAAAATAATTCTTAGATTTTTTTTTTCTTTTTACCAAACGTTAAGCCATTTTTTGGTTTGGTTTCAAAAGTTAAGTGTCTATCGTGCTATGATGAATTGAGACAGAATATAAATAAGTAGTTTACCACGGGAGAAAGTAGTTGTGTTTGATTCTTTTTTATTTAGCTCTAAAATCTTATTAATTATTCATCTAAATTACTAGATTAGTTTTACGACGAGAGAAACAAACTTTGTTGTTCGCTGGCTAGTTCTCAAGTGTGTGAGTGTGAATGAAAAACTCAAACAGAATCCAAAAACACAGAATTGATAAAATGATTATATTAAATCTAGCACGAACATGAACATTACATGTTATCATACTAGTGTTTAATTATTATCAAGATACACAAATACATATGGCTATGATAACAGTATACAAAACTATTAATACATAACCATATGAAAAAGGTACCAATACGGTTACCAATGATTTTATAACCTCTCCAGTCACCACCTCCTTCTCCCATTTGATGAACTAAATTTTGGCGTGATTAACTAAGTCGTTCATGATGCCCAAACAATTACCACCCAACTGAAATAGAATTTGAGAATCCTGAGAAAATGGCATCGTAACACCAGGAGACTCCGCAAAAGCATCGTCGCATGTAGATTTTAGAGATAACACAGAGTTGAACTTGTAATAAGCATCCACAATATTTTGGTTTTGAAGTAAATCCACTGTCTCTTCGATTGCATCCAACATATCGTCATATTCTTCTTCACATACGCCAAGGGCATCCATGGCCTTTTTATCGGTGCTAGGGTCACGAAGCAACTCGTCAATGGTACCAGCTACGGTCATGGCTTGGTCGAGGGTGGCATCAACCGCGATCTCAAGTGCCTTGAGGGGATCAAAAGGACCAGTCATTTGTTTCAAAATGGTTTCAGCACAAAGAGCTATGTTCTCACCGTCGATACATAGTTGCGCGATCTCGGGATAGCCAGACTGTGATGCCTGTTCTAGAATAGCGCTACTGTCACCAGAGGCAATAACGCCGCTTGAAGGGGCTGCAGCTGGGACATTTGTGGGAGTGAATTCATAATAGCGGCTTGAAGGGGCTGCAGCTGGGACATTTGTGGGAGTGAATTCATAATGGCCGCTTGAGGGGGCTACAGCTGGGAAACTTGTGGAAATACTTTTGTACTCTGCAGCTGGGAAACTTGTGGAAATACTTTTGTACTCTGCAGCCGGGAAACTTGTGGTAATACTTTTGTGAACTGCAGCTGGGAAGCTTGTGGAAATGACATCGATAAATCGAGTCGAAGGGACGGCATTGGTAGATAGAAGAAGAGAAGAGAGGGATAGGATGACAAGAAGGGTTTTATTGAATCTGCAATCCATTGTCTCTTCTCTTTAGAAAATATTCTTAAGAGCTGAGACAATGGGAGACAGGGTAACCTAGGCTGTGGCATGGACAATGTGTGTCCGATGGGGTTTTATAGTGCACAAGGAAACATAATATCCACTCAAATTTTGGTAACTTTTCAGTTGTTGATTATAGGCTCTCATTAGATTCAGCATAAAAAATAGCAACTTGAAAGGTTCGTTGGTAACCTTGTGATTGGAATTGTCACCCTCACACGTACACAATACGTTACAAGATGACTTGATAAACTAATGGTCCTAATTAACCTTTATTTTTTCTAACGGTTTTAGATAAAAAAAATTATGATTGAAGTTTAATAATGTATGTTTTGTTTGAAAAACACTTGTATTAAATGAATTAGAAATTAAAATAATTGACTTTTTTTAAAATAATAAAAAATATGTTTTTTTATAAAAAAAACTTGTATTCAATGCAATGTTTTTTTTATTTGAAATGCTTAAAACATGTCCCTCAAGCACCCGTTAATATAACTTTTTTTATAACTAACATTCCACTCACATTGAATATTTGACTATAGAATTTAATAATATATAAATGTAGAAGAAAAATAGAAATTTAATAATATATATATATATATATATATATATATATATATATATATATATATATATATATATATATATATATATATATATATATATATATATATATATATATATATATATATATATATATATATATATATATATATATATATATATATATATATATATATATATATATATACCTTAATGCAGACCACGTTATTCTCAGTTAGCCAATATAATAGTACCACCTAAAGCGGAACTAAAAGAGTTTTAAGGTCAAATTCCCATCCTAAAGTCTAGTTTTTATAATTGGGAAATACTTATGCCACTAATGGGTCCATCCACACTTTTGAAAATTCACCTAAAATCACATTAATCTTTTTAATTCAGTTGCACATTCTATTTTGTTAAAATTTGATTCGGATATATATATATATATATATATATATATATATATATATATATATATATATATATATATATATATATATATATATATATATATATATATATATATATATATATATATATATATATATATATATATATATAAATTTTTTAAATTTGAAGATGCATCTCCATAAAATCTCATAAATTCATTTTAAATTATTGAAAACGTGTTTATTGCACATAATAGAGGATATTTCAGAAATGCAATTCTAAAATCTCTGAATGCATTCTAGGCAGCAACATTGTCCTAATTTTACATTTTTTAAAGCCAATTTATACTTTAGGTAAATTTTTATCATTAAATCATTTAAGAGTATCATAAATTGATTCAAAAATACTATACATACCTTAACTAAATTTAAAATGTACCGAGCATACATAATTTGTTTCAAAAATTAAAAAAATAATATAAACAAACATAAATTACTAGGTATGTTTAACCCCTCAGTTTTTCCTCCACATGTACTGCAAGACATTTCGTGTCTCGACAATAATGTCTTCTATGAGGGCCAACTAGGGACTTCCTCAAAGGTCTAGCCTCAACAATAATGTTTTTATGACAGTCAAGATAGACTCGGAAAAGCTCAATCATATGATTCTATATGTATAGGGTTGTTGTGAATAAGATGTCTTGAAACAAAATATAAACAGCTTCTTTATGACCAAGAAACACACAAGGGTTAGGGTTAACAAAGAAAATAAGGGAAAACAACAAGGATTGATTATAAACTGCTATTCTTTTCTTTATCTATCAAATAAGATTACAAGTATACAAGAATAACAAATAACCTCTCTCTCTTGAATTAGGATTTTATCTTCCTATTTTTCCTTATACAAGTTGAGAGACTAGCATGCTATTTATAAGAAAACTAACACACTAACTTAATGGACTTTTTAACAATTGCCCATTATAAGCTAACTTATGGTACAAGCTAACTTAAACAATTGGGCTTACAAGTAAGACCCAATTCAACATGCTAACAAACATAGAAATATTGACTAATGCATGTTAGAACAAACTTCTACTACAACACGCATTACTCCGACAACATACTAGAGTTCGATCCAATATCTCATAAATCTCCACCTTGGATCTAACTCTATAACATCAAGTAACTAGATTTTTCATGTAGCTTTATCAACTGCATACAGTGGAAAAACTTGCAACCGGGCAACGTCTTGGTGATCGTATCAGCAACACTATGATCTGTCGAAACCTTCAGCACTTGGACTTCTCCACGCTCGATTACCCCTCTGACGAAATGCAGTCTCACATAAATGTGTTTGGTTTTCTCATGATATGCTAAATTCTTAGACATGTGTGTTACACTTTGACTCTCACATATAACAATGATAACTCGACCTTGAAGTTTCAGCTCCTTTGCAAAACCTTCAAGCCACAATATTTCCTTCACAACTTCAGTTAGGACGATATATTCCGTTTCAGTGGTTGGTAAGGCAACGACCTTCTAAAGTGTTTCTTTCCAACTGATTCTTGTCCCAAACATAGTGAACACATATCTAGAAATAGATTTTCTAGAATCCATACAACCTGCATAATTAGAGTCGACATATCCTTCAATTGCTGCTTTACTATCTTCACCCAAGACTCCACAATAAATTAGGACTCTATTCAGAGACCCATTTATGTACCTTAGAATCCACTTCAATGTTTTCCAGTGAGCCTTTCCAAGATTCACCATGTACCTGCTTATAAGACTTACTACATATGTTATGTTGGGTCTAGTACAGAGCATAACATACATCAAAGAACCCACTATATTAGCATATAGAATGTTATTCATATAGGCTCTTCCAACATGATGATTGGACACTGATCTATACTCAACTTTAATTGAGGATTTGTCGGAGTCACAACAGGCTTTGAATTTGACATGCCACACTTTTCGAGAATCTTCCGTAGGTATGCCTCTTGAGATAAGCATAATTTCAACTGCTTTCTATTTCTTCAGATGTCAATCTCAAGAATCTTGGACGCAACTCTCAAATCCTTCATGTCGAACTCCTTATTTAGTTCATCCTTCACCCTTATTACATCTTTGACATTGTTGCTTGCTATTAGAATATCATCCACATAAAACAACAGAATAACAAATGAATTACCAGGTCGAAATCTGAAGTAAACACAGTGGTCGAACTAACTTCTAATGAAACTTATGCGTGCCATGAACTTGTCGAATCTCCTATTCCACTATTGAGGAGATTGTTTCAGTCCATATAAAGATTTATTCAGTTTGCACACATAATATTCCTTCCCTTTTTCGACATACCCTTCAGATTGTCTCATAAGGATTGTTTCATCTAGATCACCATACAAGAACACAGTCTTCACATCCATCTGTTCTAGTTCAAGGTTGAAATGTGCCACTGTGGCAAGTAACATTCAAATGGATATATGCTTCACAATAAGAGAGAACACATCATTTAAGTTGACACCTTCTTTTCGAGTGAACCCCCTAGCGACCAATCTTGCCTTGTATCTCTTCGACGACACTTCTTCGATTCCTTCCTTAACTTTGAAAATCCATTTATAGCTGACTAACCTGGCTCCAGCAAGTTTCTTGATCAATTATCAGGTGTTGTTGTAATTAAGAAGTTTCATCTCATCATCTATGGCCTCAAGTCATTCAATCTGCTTTTGACTCCTCATAACTTCTTTATTGTCTCTAGGTTCTTCGTCTAGAACCTCACTTGCAAAGATTAAGGCATAAGTTATAAGATATGCATACTTAAGTCTCTGACGTGGCTTGATGACTCTCCTCAACCTGTCTCTTACTAGCAGGTAGTCATTATTCGTCTCCTTATCTTCGACAATATCTTCTGCTTCTTCTTCGACTTCATATGGGATACATAATTCAGCATCAACATGCTCTACCTCAACATGAATTTCTCCCTATTCCAACTCTTCGTCAGCATCATCAGTTTTCTTAAAAGGCATCTCTATTTCATTGAAACTACATCTCGAATGGTGATACACCTCCTATGACTAGGCTCTAGGCACCATAGCTTATAAGCTTTGACTCCTTCAAAGTATCCCATGAACATGTATTTCAGAGCTATAGGTTTGACCTTGTCTTGCCTAATATGAGCATAGACCACACAACCAAATACTTTCAGTCTGTCGAGACTAGGTGGATGTCCCGACCAAACTTCTTCAGGTGTCTTCATTTCCAAGGCAGTCGAGGAACATCTATTTATCAGATAGGCTATTGTCGAAACAGCCTCCGCCCAAAACACCTTCTTCAATCCAGCACTAACCAACACGCATCTAACCCTTTCAAGGATTGTTCGATTGAATCTCTCAGCTAAGCTATTTTATTGAGGAGTACCTGCTACAGTCTTGTGCCTTGCAATCCCAGACTCAACACAGTAATTGTCGAACACCTCGTTGCAGAACTCAAGGCCATTGTCAGTTCTCAACCTCTTAACCTTTATGCTAGTTTGAGTTTCGATCAGAACCTTCCAACTTTTGAAATTCTCAAAAGTTTCATGCTTCGTCTTCTAGATGAATACCCATAGATTTCTGGAATAGTCATCAACGATGGATAAAAAATAACTTGTACCTGAGTGTGAAGGATTCCTTGCAGGCCCGCAAAGATCAGCATTAATGTAATCCAGAGATCCATGTGTTCTTTGCTTACCTCTGTTAAACTTCGCCCTATAGGATTTACCAAATACACAAGATTCACAAAACTCCAACCTTTTGACTTTGTCACCTCCTAGAAGGTTCTACTTCCCCAATTCGACCAGGTCTCTTTCACTGACATGGCCCAATCTCATGTGCCATAATTTTTTCTTCGACACATGTTTCATGGATGCAACATTTGTCAAACCACTTACAACCTCAGCCTCAAGGGTATATAAGCCTTGCTTCTTCACGCCTCTCAAGACTTCCTTCGATCCCTTCATGACTCTTATAATACTTTTATCTCCTTAAAAACATATCCCTTCCTGTC